CCTCTATTTTTGATAAACAACTGCATGGTAAACTTAGATGACTTTCCCCTGGATTTTCCCTGGGCAAGGCCTTTTATATTGTTTTATTTAAAAGAGGGCAGGTTCATCCAGCCAGTATGGCTCAGTGGTTGAGCATCAACCTATGAACCAGGAGGTCATGGTACATGACCCGGTCAGGGCACATGCCCAGGCTTTAGGCTTGGTCCCCAGTGGAGGGCTTGCAGGAGGCAGCCGATCAGTGATCCTCTCTCATCATTGATGTTTCTCTTTCTCTCCCTCTCCCTTCCTCTCTGAAATCAATAAAAATACACATATTTTTAAAATGGAGTTCCATGTAAGGCTTCTTTAGCTCATCTGCTACAAATGAAACTTGGAAAATTACCAGTGTTCACGGAATGTCCGTCTCCCCTTCCCATAGGCTCTGCTCCCACAGGCCTCAGGGTGAAAATGGCACTGGTGTGTCCAATGGGTAGTCTGCTTTCCCAGGAGACAACAAATTTCTGGGGCAGACATTCTCAGGACAATAAAGAGATTCCAGGGAAGCAGCAAGCCACAGTCCGTTGTTTTTCTAACAGACCCCTAAGAGCCACAGCCCCATGGGAACCCTTGTCTGTGTAGCCACCCTGAAGTGCTGGACAAACAACTGGAGTCACCCCCCACTTCAAAGTGGGAAGTGTGGCTGCACAGCCACCCAGCCTGGAGTGCAGAGCGGGCGAGTTCACGGGGGAGGTCACTGTTTGTACAAGGCCGATGTCACCGGGACAGTGGGTCCTGCCGACAGCACTTCCCAGACGTGAATCACCAGGGGCTCCTTCAAAAGCAGGTTTGGGCTCAGTTGGTCCCGGGTGGGCCTGAGACTCTGCATTTGTAACCAGCTGCCAGGTGATGCTGACACTGCCGGTTCTGGGCCCACACTTAGTGAGAACTGAGAAAGAATTATGGTTTGGGTTAATTTGACTTGGAAGCAAAAAACATTGGCTCAGAAAACAGCCCAGACCCACCTCAGAAGGGACAGGTGCAACCAATTTCTTTCCACACTCCACTCCTGTGCTTCCGCCAACAGAGAGAGCACAAATGGCCCCTCAAATGAGACCCGCGTGAGAGGCAGGAGCAGACTCCCACCGAGACAAAGTGCGTGCAAGGGACGCTCCTTAGGTGGAGGCCAGAGCAAACCCCAGGCACACAGGCGAGAGCCAACACCGTGACCGGGGAAACGGACATCTCTCCTCCTGTCACTGAGCCTCTGCTCCCTCCTCTCAATCATCTCCCGGTTCGCTGGCTCTGGCTCACAGCAGCGCCGAGAGATGAGGAAGCAGTTCTTGAAGGGATTCCCCCAAAGAAATCCCAGTAAGGGTTCGGACAAGGGTGATTTGAACTCAGTGGATAATACGAGTTTGAGCACATTTTAAGACATGAATGGAACTGCAGGCCTTATCAGCGCTTCCCTTCGAGCGTCCCAGAAAACGGGCTGAGCCATAGGCAGTGCCCTCTTTCCCATGGTGGGCCTGGTGGCTCTATTCATTACAAAGTTCAGCTATAGGGACCAGGGTGCTGATCCTGGTCAAGGCTTCCCCATGAAGCAAGTCACAGACATGAACACAACGTCATAAAAATACACATTTCAGATGGAAGTCTTTTCTAAGCCCTATAACTCAGGTATAATGTGTTATACAAACGACCCCACATGCATCTGTGTCATAACCGTGGCATCAGCCGTCAGGCTGGCTAGCGCTGGCCTCCCACAGTTCACTGACAGCACCTGGGCTTGCTTTGCGGGGACTGGGACGGCCTTTTCAAGTGAAGGCATATCTCAGGTCTCTTTAAAGAGCTGCCTGGGGAAGCGGAACTGATACCCTCTTTTTCTGCTGATCAATTTTTCAGTAGCAGGAGAGAGACTGGTGCCTGGTTTTGACAAAGTAGCCTGTAATGTTCTCCTGTCACCAGAAGGTGGCACTTGCGGGCACTGGGACATTGGCCTTTGAGACTCAAAGTGCAGAAAACACAAAACACAAAAGGTAGAAACAATGACTAAGAGAAAAGCCAGACAGCTGGTGCCTCTTCACTGCTCACTATTGATAGTGATTACATATTGATCAGCATAGGTGCCATAGGTCAGGCCCCGCATGTTGCATAACATCTTGCATAATCTCTAAAAATCCTGCCAGGTTTCATACATTTCAAATGTATCATTTGTATTTTACAGACGTGAGCCCCACCCTGGCTGGCTCTGCTTCTCAAGGTCACATTGCTGGTAAGTAGTGGAGCGAGGACCAGAACCCGACTGTTTTTCCACCAAGTCAAGCCTGGGACTGAGCAGCTCCAGAGAGAGGAGAACAAGGAGGGCCAGGGCGGCCGGGCCTGTGGCCACGGGCTGTCAGGCCACGGGCCTCTGTTGAAACCGACGCTGTGCACACGAACCTCGTGCAGGCTATTGAAGCCTCTCCGCCTCCGTTTGTTCATGTCGTTATTCTCCTCCGTTTGGTTGTCCACCTGCAAAGGCCAAAAGAGCACCGTGAGCTCAGGACCATCAAGGGCCTCGGATCCATTGACAGCCCTGAGCCAGCACTGAGCCTGCCACCCTGCCTGCCCAGGAGACAGACGGACATACCCCACTCTACACCCAGAGCTCCGTTCGGGTGCAGGGGATGGGTCCTTGCTCTACCTAGGGAGCCAGTTTCTGTCAGAAGGGGTGGGAATCACATCCCCAAATCCAGCTGAAACATCCCAAAACACAGACTCCCTGTGACAGGGCAGGGATCGTCCCTGCGGTGAATGTGACCTCGGTCTCAGGCAGTGGCCTCCAGGCCTGCTGAAGCCCTTCCGGTGTTGCCTATGAGACCACCTCTGGCAAGGGGCTGACGCTGGCTCACCTCAAGGGCAGGATTCTTGGGGCTCAGAGCAGCTGCCCAGGGATGTGATGGCCACTCGGACACCACCCTAGCTACCAGTGCGAGATCGTTTAATTTCAAAGGAGCACCAGACTTTGACCCCTACGGCGAGTGTACAGCCAGTGTGCCCAGGACTGTGTAATTCATCGCTTTTTGTCCCCAGCATCGTTATAGTGCCTCCTTTCACCTTCAAAACCATCCTGGTTTAGACAATAAATTACGTGGCTGCCCTACCAATAGCCTATTACAGCCTATTTCTGCTGCCTGAATCTGGACATTTACACCCAGAGAAACGCGCACTACCCGAGCCCATCACATCACCACCGCGAGGACCACCCACGGGCACCTGCTGTCAGGCTGGAGCCTCAAAGGAATGAGTGGAATTGCACAGGTTGTGCTGCTGCTATGGGCTGGGCTGGGCTGGGTGTGAGGGCTGACTTAGTTCTTCCCCTGCACACTGCAGGATGAGTCCATTCTTGACAATGAAGTTAAACCTACCTCTCTACCACAGTCTCTAGCTGGGGCCTTCTCCAAATGGCCAGCCCCCCCGAGGACCATGGAATCACCCCACAACTATGTCTTCCTCCTACAGGGAGCCTCCTTGCCCTCAGGGGGCCCTCCACAGCAGGCCCCAATCAAATCCCGGCCTTGGTTCCACTTGGGATGCAGCAGCCAGGGCGGCTGGCCCCTCTCTCCCCTCCAACCGAGGGGTACCACCCCATCAGCCCTACACATCCTAAACTGGCCCAATCACAAGAGGATTCTTTTACCTCCCAGTTGTTCTGGAACAACACTAATACTTTCGGTTGTTATTACAATAGATGCCAATATACCACACAATAGCAACAGCACTAATACTACCACTGGAGTCCCTAGCACGGTCTGCTGTGTGCTCACTGGCTTCCAACAGAAAGCACCTGCTTCCCGAGTTCTTACACTCCCCCGACCCCTGACCCCTCCCCGTATTTACCAGGACCTTGAATATTTCGAGATCAACCAGAGCTTAGTCATTAATATTTGTTTAAAAATTTGACCCAGGCATCAAAAAAACAAAAACAGAAAACAAAACCCCCGACAGATCAAAGGGCCCGGCCATCCCTCCCACATTCTCCTCAGCTCCCAGTAACTCATTATTCTGTGACTGGGAATTATTTCAGGCCCAACGCTTGGGCAAACACCAAGAGAAACAGATGACCTATTTGCAACAGCGTTGGGTCTTAGAGGCACAGGCTGTCTGGCCCGAGCTCCGCAGCCCGTGAAGGCCTCGCTGGCCCGGGGCTGCAGCCTGTGGAAGCACAAGATGTCCTGCCCACCCGGCAGGAACACGCGGTGCAGCATCTTCGGGTTTTCTATTGTTTCTTGTTTGTTTGTTTGTTTGTTTCCACCTTAAATGAAGACTTGGCTTTTCCCTCAAAGAACAACACATGTTATTCTCTCTTCTGCATTCAACAGCCGTGGGTGTGACTGTTCCAACAACCAGAGCCTGTCTAGGTCCAAGGCCAGGCTTAGCCGCAGGCCCACAGAAAGCACCTCCAGGGGAAGTGTGTGCAGTAGCAGCCACAGCTCCTCTGCTTCAGCCTGAGCCACGGGACAGCAAACCGTGGTCTGTGCAGAGCGGTGAGCGGTGAAGAGCTAGGTTAAAACTAAACGGTGGAGAAAACGCAAACCTAGATATTTATGTATTTTTTTCTTATCTGTATATCTCTATTTGGGAGCTAAAGTTGCCCCAGCACCCCCATCTCCTTGGGCTCTATTTTATTCTACAAAGAATTGGGTTGCAAGGAGAAAGAAAATACTTATTGTGCCAGTCAGACAGAACGTGAGAATAAACCAGTAACTCGCTTTCTTTTCCTATTAATATTTTTCATCCCTTTCACTTGAACATTTTTTTTTTGAACATCATGATTGTCCTAGTGACTTGTAAGATTCTGCACACCAAAAATCATTTATTAAACTAATTGGTATCTCCACTAAAAAAAAAAAAATTAGGCATATATCTCCCAATCTGATCATTTATTTGATCAGCACAAAATCACACTGTTCCCATATTGCCTGACTTAATGTGAATTTAGCCCAAAGTAAACAAGCTTTGTATTTAGTTAGTTAGTATAACCTAATTGTGGAGAAATTAAGATCTGGGCCCCAGGAAGAGAGACTGGCCATTGCAGGCAAACGACCTGGTTGAGAAGGGTCGTTGCCATGAGATTTAGAAAGGTGGCCAGTGACACTGCCAAGAGAGTCTGTTCTTCTTCAAAGGCAGGGTAGAAAGGAAACATGGGTTCGAGTTCTGACATGAATTACTTCCTGGCTGTTTGACTTTAGAGGAATTACCTAACCTCTCTGACTTCAGTTTCCTCACTATAGGATATTACACTGTCATAACTGGTGTAAGGATCAATAAAGTCATTTATGCAAAACATTTCTTACAACATGAAGTGCTGTGTGTTAGACGCTGTCACTGAGGTTAATGCTAGTTAGCAGACATTAGAATTCTAGTTCTGACTTTGACATCCACCACCTACATGGCTTTGCAATTTAACCTCCCTACATCCAAGTTTCCGCATCTCGCTAGGATGAGGACACATTCCCCGCCTCCCTTAGAAGGCGACACGAGGAGCAAATGCAATACACAGGAAACTGTTCCCGATGCTCTAAGTGCTGCATCGCCCATGATTGCAGTACCGACCCCACGGTTCAATCTAGCTAGCGTCACTCATCTGTTCAGAAGACGAGCATCTTCACTTAATCAGTACTTGCAAAGGGCATGGCCTGTCACTTACGGAGCCCCTTCCATGTGCCAACGACTGTGTCAGGCCTGCAGCACGCATTTGTTGACGGTGTCTTCACAGCAATGCAATGCTCGTTATTATGACCATCTTGCAGACAAGCCCAGGAACTTCCCGAGAGGTTTAAGCACGTGAATCCCCAGCAGACCTAAAGCCGTGTCTGCCTGGCCTCAACGTGCACTGCCATGCTGCAAACCAGCTCAGAACCTCCGGCTGTGGGTGCACAGAGGGCAGGAGAGGTCAGCCTGAAAACCACAGGTGCTGGGGAAGGGGGGGGCGGTTGAATGGGGGGGCGGGCAGCATCGGGACCTGGTCCTCTGGACTCTCCCGAACCTTCTTCAATCTCTCAACTGAGAACTACTAGGCAGTTCTCCGGGAGCTTTGGCTGCTGGGTGGGTGGTTCGGGAGAGGAGTTGGGGAAGGAGAGTGAGAGGAACTGCAGAAGCCCCTCTAGAAGGCGAGCTCCCCTGGTCAGGGTCCTGCTTGTCTAGTTCACTGCTCTACCCCAGCTCCAAGGGGAGAACTCAACATAAACTAGGCATCAGTAAAGGTGTGTTGAATAGATGGAAGGAGGAAGCACATTTAAAAAAATTTTTTTTGTTAATCCTCACCAGAGGACATTGACTCTTTAGAAAGAGTGGAAGGAAGGGGGAGGGGGGGAGACAGAGAGAAACGTTGATGTGAGACAGACACATCAATTGGTTGCCTCCCACATTTACCCCAAACAGGGCCAGGGATTAAGCCTGCAACTGAGGAATGTGCCCTTGACTGGAATCGAACCTGCGGCTCTTCAGTCTTCGGGCCAACGCTCTAACCACTGAGTAAAACCAGCCAGGGCAGGAAGCACTTTCTTCCCTAGCAACCCCTGGCTCTTTGCAGAGTATTTGTGCAGAAGACTCATGGAGAGGAGTGCTGGGAGGCTGACTCAGGCCCCCCGCAGGTCATGTGCACGCCACTCTACCGGGGACCAGTGCTGGAGGAGGACCTGGGTCCGAATCAGCCAGCTGAGCAGGATCTGCATCCCAGGGCCACTAACTCGGCTTCTGGGATGGCCTTTTCATGGACAAGTGACAGCCTCTGTGCTGTGCTGTCCTCCAAGGAGTGGGCTCAGAATGGGGAAAAGATCAGGCCCTCTGCGTGCATATGTCACATGTGACGCATGTAATGGCTGAAGTGGCCGTCAGTGCAGGCATTACCCACATGTGGCAGGCCTAGGAGAGCGAGGACTGAGACCACATATGTTCAGGTGTCAACTGTGGTGTGTGGTGACAAGAGCCCTGGAGTCCCCCGGAACTGTCGCTTGCCCTGAGGCTTTCAATGCTTACGGGATGAGAGGCAGATCTGCAGAAGCAGACCCCGGGGGTAGTAAGAGGAAAAGAGAATCTCAGGCTCCTCTTCCCACAGGCCTGGATCTGCTCGGTCCTCAGAGCTCATCGAGCAGCCCCATAGCTCCCACTCACCGAGGGACCACCTCGTGGCGGGTGGACAGAAAGTTACTCCTTCTAAATGTCCACAAGGTCCTCGGGGAGGAAAAGTCTTATTTTGCCTAAGGTTGGTCCGTCTTGCTGGGATTGTGACATTAGCAGATTTGGGGATGAGAAAAAAAATGTAACACCAACAGTGGAAACTGGAGGGAGAGAGGCTTTTAAGACTGGCTCAACAGAGAAACAATGAACTCTCTTCAGATTAGATGCCACGTTGTGAATGTGCGTGAGCTGTTGCGTTCTCATATCTCAGCGCTCCTCTGGCAGCTGGAGAAGGGTGGGGAGGGGCCTTACTAACTTGCTCTCCCATGGGCAGCCCACGGCACATGCTGGAGGAGCCCAGCCATGGTTCACACCTGCTCCCCTGCATTTCCTAGCAGAGCCAGCAGAACATGGAGCGAGGGCCCAGCAGCCGTCAGGGGCCTGGCTGGCCTCGCTGACTGCTGACTTTTGACCATTCCCACCTCCTGGCCAGGCCCTTTCCATTCAGTCACTCTGTAAACAGAGGTGTGGTGAGTGAAGGTTTAAGCTCCAATCCAGCCCCTTCTGCTGTTTCAGTTGTGGGCTATGTGGTGGGAGAAACCGGTGAACGGAGAAAGGTGGTGAACGCTTGGCCCAGAGGGCTGGTGGAAAGGCTGCGTTGGCTGCCTGGATGGGGCAGCCCAGAGTGGGGTCCTTGGGCTTCAGAGGAAACAGGATTGGCCTGGCGGGAGCACGCCTATGGCTGGTATCCAGAGGACAGCTTTCACTCACGGGACCTGGTGGCGATGCAGCCCTCACACTGAGCTTCTGAATGGGGCGCCATGGGGTGCAGAGCAGACAGAGCTCTGCTGAAAACCCTGGCAGACCTGCGCACCTTCCTCCCCAGCCCTCACTTGGCTCACCCACCCCTCCCAGTAGACAGGGCGTGGGGGAGCGCTGAGTACCCTATGCAGCTAGTAGCCCAACAACTGCTTGCGACATTCCAGGGAGCGCAGGTCTCAGTGGAAAAAGTGACCACTGTTCCAGCAGCTGAGAGAAAGGAGGGAGGCCACACCCTGGGTGGAGGGGAGGCAGGACATGGCATGACTGTCAGCAACTGCGAGAGGCTGAGACAGGCAGAGGCCTGCACCCTCTGCCATGCGAGGCTCCCCGTGCGCTGAGAGCCAGGGTGAGCCCTGGGCCAGGACTTGCCACCTAACACCTCTGGGCCACCCTTTTCAAAATCTGTGCAATGAGCACAATAAGCAAGACGACTTGTATTATCCCTTCCCCAGAGATGCCATCACTCAGATACAATTATTTCTCATTAGGCCCATCATTCCCAAACCGGGTACCAAGGCACCCTGTGGCACCACAGTCAACTCGTAGAAGAGCCACGGGGTATTTAGATTTTCTAGGGAAGCATGGTGAAGTCTGCTGTAGACCTTGCAAAACGCCCTTATAACATATTTGAACTTAACTACTGAATAAATGGAACTTCTTTAGATCGAGGGGCACCGTGAAACAAGTACTGAGACAGGCAGGGTGCTGTAGGTCAGGGAAACTCGGGAACCTCTTTGTTGGGCGCTGAGCTCTTCAAAGGCAAGGAGCCTATTGTAGTCATTTCAGTCCATGTCCTCCCCTCGTCAAAAACTAACCAAAAGTTCAGCCCTAATGTTGGCATACTGTAGGGCCCAACGGACATTTGTTGAATGAATAATTTTAAAAAAATGAATAGAACAGGATGTGTAACTGTAGCATCACCGCCCTGCCACTCAATGGCCCCTGTGTTTCTGATCGAAATAAACTGCTCAACAAAGTGAGAAGCTGCCTCTCCTCCCCACCGAGGAGGCCACACTGATCCACCCGGAACTTCCTGTAACCCAGTGGTTCTCAACCTTCTGGCCCTTTAAATACAGTTCCTCATGTTGTGACCCAACCATAAAATTATTTCCGTTGCTACTTCATAACTGTAATGTTGCTACTGTTATGAATCGTAATGTAAATATCTGATACGCAGGATGGTCTTAGCCGACCCCTGTCATTCGACCACCAAAGGGGTCGCGACCCACAGGTTGAGAACCACTACTGTAACTGCTTCTAAGTCAGCGAAGTGCCGGGGGAACTTCCCAAACACTCAGTTACTAAACTGAGTTTTACTCATGTCTCCTGTGCGATTTATCAGCAGACACAGACCAAGAGCAGGACATTCTCCAACCCCCAGCCCCATCCATGTGCAAAAAGCAGTTAAAGGAAAGCCAAGCCTCGACTTACTCGTGGAGTCCTCTTCCTGGGAAACGTGAGGTTGAGATAGTTGTGAGGAAGGGATGATTTGGCCACGCCCAAGTCATCATTTTCTCCGTAGTTTTTGCCCCAAGAGTCTGTTAGGAAGTAAAAGTATGGCTGAGATTTGGGTCCTGCCACAGCTACCCACGGGTTTAAAGGTGTCACTGCTATAAGGTCCCTCCAAAATAATTTTCTCCCCCCAACTAAAGCTGTGAATGGCCTGGGCAGGGAGCTGTGCAGCCCCACCAGAGACCACCAATGCCGGGGGCAGACCCTGGCGTCATGCATCACCTACACACAGACCCACTTACACACACAAGTCTGGGTGTGGGGGACCCACCCCTGTTTAGCCTTAAGGGAAGGCATGGGTCAGCCCAGAACAGAAGACACCAGGGTGAAGAGCAGCCAGAGACGGCCCAGGGCAGAGCTGGCTCAAGGGCAGAGCGAAGCGTGGTCCAAAGCAGGTGCTTACCCACAGGCCTCAGCGGGGTGCCCCGGAAGAGCTCATAGAACTTGGACAGGTACATGACCATGCTGAGCTTGTCGGGCTCCTGCGCTGACGCCATCTCTTTGCCCGTGGTCACTGGGGGGATGCCAAACTCTCGCTCGGCCACGTCAAACGCCAGCTGGTTGTTCTCCACGGCGTCATCTTCATTCAGAGAGTCAAAGTTGCTGGAGAATCAAAACGAGGTGAAACTCAGGGAGAGGAGGCAGAGGTGGGGGGAGTGAAGGAGCGGTGACCCGAGCCCTGGTCCTGAATCACACCCCAACCAGCTCCCCAGGAGCCTCAGCCACAAGAAGCTAACACTGTCCAGACCTGGGCCACGAGAACGTCACGGCTGTCAGAAGATAGTGTACGCCACTTTGGGAAACGCATGAGCTACTTTGCCTTTAGAGAGTTCCCTTATGTTTGTTTTCTTTTCGCTATGAAACTAGCATGGGCCTCTTGTCAAAAAAGAACCAAGTGATTTGTAACCTGTAAAGTGATAAGTGAGAGTCACCCCCTTCTCAAGGCAACCTCGCGTCCTAAAGGTACCAATTGATAACACCTTGGCAGGTTTCCTTTCAGCCCTTTGGATGCCTTTGCTCGTGGGCGTGAGGTTACACCGCACACAGTGATTTAAACACAACCTCAATCAATGCATTGTGTTTTCAACATCACGAGGCACTCACATAATTCCATCTCCCTAATGACCCTAACACGTTTCCCAACTTATAAATGCAGAAACAAACTCAGAGAAGGCACGCGCCTTGCCCAATGGTACACAGCTAGTCAATTAGGGTCTCAGCTCTAATTATTTGGGCTGTAAACTATCACATTTCCCCCCAGATTTAGGTCTTGCCCATCATTCCTGCCTAAGGGTAGAGCTCCATGGTGGGAATGCTCAACTTTCCCACGTGTGGGAATGGAGGGGCGGGAGCCGGGTAACCACTGAGCCTGAGTCACATATTAGGAACACAGATCAAAGGAGTTGTGGGCAGATTCATCAGTGCAAAGGGGAAACAAAACAAGCTTAAGGAAAAACTCAAATCAAAAATATGCAAGGAGAAATTTTGAACCAAGTTCTGAAGATTCTGCCTCTAGCAGAACAGTCCTGGTTCCCCTCGTCTCCAGGGTCCCCGTGGGCAGTGAGGAGCTTGGCAGGCCCAGGCGGGCCCCAGACTCACATCAGCTCAGGCCGGAAGCGGTGGATGATGGCACACAGGGCCAGGCCACTCCGCCAGGACGTGGTCAGGTCGGTGACGTTGACGTGCTGGTAGCCCTCGGTCTGCTGCTGGCACCAGGTTAAGAGCTTGCTGGGCCGGATGTCTGACTCTGCAGTAACGGGAGACAGATGGTGAGGTGCTCTGGGGAAATCTCAGGGACCCCTGGGGGCCGCTCTCTGACTGCCACCATGGCTGGGAACATGGGGAATAGCACCAAGGCAAGGGGCCCTGTGGAGAGCATGGCGGGAGGGCAGGCTGCTGGGGCAGGAAGCATGCTCTCCTACAGCAGGTCCCCAAGACCCTCTGGAACACAGAGGCAGGATGATGCGGACTCGGCCAGCATCTCGTCCAGTGGGGAAGACAGACACGGATGCGGGTGACAATGACGCGGTGCTGTAATCATGGAGAAGCAGGGTGCCGGGGAGCATGTGAGCGGGGTTGCCCGGCGTCTGCCACGGCCGGGACTCGCCACAGAGAGGCACAAAGAGGGTACATGTGAGCTGCTTCTTAAAAAGTGTCTAGCAATTCATCAGACAGAAGAAGGCGCTGCAGCAAGACAGAAAGGACTGCGCCGCGGAAAGACCAGGAAAACCCATCCCCGTGTGTAACATGGCTGATGACGGGCAGCAGCAGCGGGGCACGTGGTGCTGGAGGGAAGGGGGGTGGCTGGTAAGGCCGAGTGAGTCCAAAAGCAGGGAGGACACCAGGTCTGGGTGGGTGACCCGAGGCCAGAGGGGCCTTTAAGCAGTACGGTGACCTGAGCAAAGCCTGATGGGTACTGGGAGTTATTCCTGTATCATCCCTTCCCCCCAGCACTGTGCCAGGCCCTAGACGACAAGAAAAGAATGGAGCACATGGACCCTGTTGTCCAGCTGGGGACAGACCTCAGGCTGGAAATGAAGGGAGAAGAAGAGCAGGTCCCAGGGAAGTAATTCCACAGTTCACTGTGCCACGCGTGCAGCACATACGAATGCCTTGATAGTGGTTATAACGTAGGGCATCACTGTCCCGGTGTCACAGAAGGGGAAACTGAAGAGCAGAGGGGAGGAGCCTGGCAAGGTCACCCAGGTCCTCTGTGCCCCCGGGCAGCCTCCTCCCTGCAAAGCCCCTCCCAGGGGACCCGGGAGGGCGGCTTACCCCGCCTGGAGAGGCCCACGGATCTCCTCATGGAGCCCAGCCTCTTGAGGGGGGAGTGGTGCAGCTCCTTAGTGATGTACAAATGCTTCACCTACAAGCAAAAGAGAACACGCAGCTGCCCACCAGTCTTCCCCCACATCCAGTCTCAGGGCCTGGGCACCTGACCTTCTCGACTTAGTATCTATCGGCCACTCCTTTCCTCTCCTGCTGGACCCCCAGTGAGGGGACACAGGCCACCTGAGACACAGAGCAACGGGCCGCAATCATCTACCCAGATGTGGAAGCACTCAAGTGTAAATATAGGTCACGGCTAACTTTTAAAATGCACGCCACTCCTGGAGCTATTAACTGAGAGGCAATGGGAGAGAATAAGAGGACTCTAGGATGATGCTGAAAAGGACTCAAATTCACCAAGTAGACTGAGGGAGGTATGCTTAGCAACATGGTGTGCATGGTGACAAACGGGTGTAAATATATGTACAAATGTGGTCGTCCATTTACATGTGTTCTACTTCTCTCCTGTGGGCCACAGAGGGGCTGACTCTGCGTTATTCTTGTGACTCCCCGAGAGTCACCGTAGGGCCCAGAGGCTTGGTGGCCTTGGTCCCAGGGATGTGCCGAGATGTCAGGTGACCCCTCCCTCCCACCGCTCAGTGCAGGGGGCCCCAACGAGATCCCCGGGAAGGACTCACCTGATGGGGCCGCACACAGTGGGAGTTGAGGTTTGGGTACCGTGTGCCCGGGTCCAGCGTGTACTGCTCAAAGTTCTTGTTGATGTTCTCTGGGGTCGTTTGAGGTAACAGCCGGTAAAGACTTTCTCTGGAGGGAGGCAGGGCACGGGGTCGGGATTGCTCTTGAAGCCTGAGGCTTTGGTCACCACCCCCACCCTCTCCGGCTCTCAAGGGCTTCTTAGACGTGTTTGTATAACCCTTCCCTGCAAAGCCTGACCCGCGTGGTTCTTGAGACCTGCAAAGTGGCGGAGGTTCAAGGGGTGCAGAGGAAGCAGGAAGGAGCCCGGGAGGTGGGAAAGCTGGCACCTCCCCCAGGCAGAGCTGGCAGCACAGGGACCTGTGGTTTTGTTATAACCGCCACTCAGCCACACGGCCTCTGGGGCCTATCCCCCATGACCACAGGCCACCACACCTAAGACCAGCCAAGGCCGGTCCCCACCCACCAGTCCTTACTGCTCCCAGGCCACCAGCTGTCACAGCCACGTGGCCAACAGCAGGGGTCTGGGAGGAAGCCCAGGCCCTCCTGGGGGATCAGAGAACCAGCCCCCAACAAGGTGGGGCACTCAGCGCTCTCATGGAAACTTCCCCAAACCTCTTCTGGGTCCCAGGCAACTGAGCAGTGCTGGAACCCCAACTTCAGGGCTACCCCGGATGAAAATTTCTCCTTGGCATTGAGGACCTATGGTCCTGGCCCCAGAGAAAGTCACTGAAGGAGGTAGATCATGATGGAGAATGTGTCCTTGGGGACCCCGATGATCAAGCTACATGTGGGAAGGCAGATGGGAGAGGACCGAGGCTTCATCCAGGTGCCACCTAGCAGCCAGCTGTGCTCCCTTCGTGCCCCAGCCGGGAGCCCGGCCCACACACTCACCTCTCAGCCAGCAGCTCCAGCGGAGGAGCGCCCTGGTCCCAGCTCTTCACCATCCAGGCCGTGTCAAAGGCCGCCAGGAAGCCGCGGGCACAGCCTGTGCCCATGGGCCAAAAGGGCTGCAAAGAAAAATGGAAATTTAGGGTGATTCTAACAACTCCCAGCCTGCTCTCCAGTTCCATCCAGCACTCTCCCATTGCCAGGCCCAGGCGAGGCTCTGGGGGTGCAGGTGTAGAGGGTGTGTGGGGCGGGGGGAGGGAGAGGTGACTAGACAGCCACTAAGATTCACCACAAATACAAATATCTGCAACCCAAGCCCTAGGTAAAGGGGCCTAGGACACAGGAACAGCAAAACCGCTTTGGGGCTCAAAAAAGGCAGAGGCAAACTCCCACGCTGGGGGAGGGAAATGGGAAATGTTTCATAGAAGATGCATTTATGCTGACTGAAAGGATGCATAGGATTCAGATTTAATCCATTCAGGAGCAGCGGGGATGGGGGGAGATAGCGGGCAAAGTCTCGGTGGCTGGAAATGGCAGAGCCTGACGGGCGAAGGGTCCGTGTGGTGTGGGTTCAGCGGTGATTATGGAGCAGAGTAATCACTGAGGAGAAACTGAGAAGTGGGTGAGGGGTGAGGTGCTGAGTGCTTAACCAAGGAGCTTAGGTTGTAGTCCACACACCATGGTGAGGAACGGGTGAGTCATCGAACTCCCTTCTAATCAGACTGTCCCTCGCACACCCACAGCCCAGTTGGGAATTTGATGCTCACCTTGGGTTAAATACATAAACACATTTTGGGCAGTGGTTCCCTTACGGATGAAAACAGAGCCCTTCTGAAAGCATTTATGTAACCTGAGGATCCTAGTGTTCGCGGATTTTCTGGGAAGCCTTCTGAGCAGGGAGGTCATGGACAGAACCTGGACTTTGGGCCCACATGCCTCTCTTGCATCCTACATGACCTCAATGTTGCAAGGCCACAAAGACACACCCACATGAAGAAGGGATCTTGGCCCAGCTGAGGGGCCACGTGCTCTGAGAAGGATGCCCTGAAGTCCAGACAGGCCCCCTGAGTTTGTACTTCAGCAAAGAGGCCAGCCCAGAAGCACTCCGAGAAGGAGAAGAAAGCTCTCTAGCTGATACAAACACATGGGCTCCCCTGGATTTAGTGGCAGGGCTGGCTCTGAGGCCACGCTGGGCTTGGTGGAGTCCTGCCGACCGGCCGAGGGCCTGCCCTCCCCGGCTGTGTGACAGCAGAGGCTGCCGGGCAAACATAAACGGGGGATCTCTCTTCAGGCAGGAGTGAGGGGGCCCCCCATGCCGGCGGTACCTCAAGCAAGCTGTCGCCCACCAGGGCCACGAGCAGCTGGTGGGACTGCCGCTCGCGCACCAGGGCCGCGTTCTCCGAGGCGTACATGCAGGTGAAGTCGAACATCGCCACATCGGGCTGCTCATAGTGGTTCATGGCGAAGTCCAAGGACGGCAGCTGGTAGTTGGTGGCGAAGTCCGCAGCCTCGCGGGCGTAGGAGAGCAGGTGGTCCTGGTTCACGTTCTCTGCGCACAGCAGCATCTCCGTGTCGATGTAGTCCTGCGGGGAGAACGGGAGCACAGTGCGGCCGCCTGCCCCTCCTAGGGCCAGGCCTGGCACCCCCTCCCTCGCAGAAGGACTTGGAAGGGGTCTGCACAGGGAGACTAGTCCAAGCAGACAAAGAAAATCAGGGCCAAGGGAAGAAAGAGGAACCAAATCGGCCAGCTGTGAGGGTTAACAGAGTTGTGATTAAGCATCCAAGGCAAAAGGGAAATGAGACATATCACAGTTCTCCCCTTATCAGAAAGAAAACAGCACTGAAATTCCTCGGGGAGGTAATTTTTTCCTGGCACGAAGTTCCAAAAGAACAGTCTCACGTAGGGGTTCCAACAGAGAACACGGTGTCGTAATGGACACTGTACGTACTAATGGTCTTGCAGCAAACACAGCAGCATCTTTCATATGGCTGATTCTCCTGATAACTTCAGTGCAATTAGAAGAGAGAAGAGTGAGTATACAATGAACTAAGCTAAGCTGATGTGTCCAGATGTGCTGTGTTTAGTGGTCAAACAAGACCAGAAAAGAAATGGGTGTTTGCCATCACTCAGAGTTGCTCTCCAAAATTCATTCCCTTTTTTCTCAACAGGCTGAAGGCTGCTCAGGGCCCTGCTCTCACAGTCTTAGCTGCTATACGTCCTGCCAGCGGGTGGAGAATCTGAGCCTATAGGACCAGGATACCCATTCTGGAGGGACCTGCAGGACAGCTGTCTCCCAAGTCTAATCTGCTCATCCTGTGGCTAAAGAAACTAAAAGACCATCTTTCCCAAAAGATGACACAGAAGGTGCACATCCCTGGGGGAGGGGGGCAGGGACTAGTGTGTATAAGACCGACACAGGCCTTGGGTTATTGAAAGCAACAGTAAGTCCCACTTCTGCTGTGTACCGACGGAGTAAATGTGGGTAAGTTAGTAAACTCTTCTGACTTTCCATTTTCTTACTTGTAAAATGGGGATAACAAACTCAGCTCACAGAGCCGTGTGAGGACTGAATGAGACCGTGTGGAACCCCCAGCCTGATGCGGGCGCGAGGGAAGGGCTCAGCGAGTGGGAATTCCTTTCCTTAGTAACCATGACACAGAATGCAGCCTGTAGGGAGTGCAGCCTGGACCCACCCAAGGCACCAGCAAGAGCTTTTACAAAGAAGGCACAGTCTCATCTACAAACAGAGTGACCTACAGGGCTCATTCTCCCCAAAGCCACGCCTTCAAATACCTTGTCCCGGGAATTCTACTATTTTCACACTCACACCACGTCCCCCCAGTTGGCCTTGGCCCAAGAGCGCTTTGTTAGGTCACGGTGTCCAGGCTGGAGCGCCAGCTATTTGATTTCCCTTCTCAGACCTGTTCCTACACTTACATGGTCACTTCCTTCCCTTGCAGGAGTGGAGAGGAGACAGGGAAACATCAACAAACAGGTCTCAGAAAGCCCCCTCTTCAAGGCATGCTGCAAGCACCTGGGGTGGACCGGGCAACGGGTGGGTGTGACAACGTGCAATGTCTGGGCCAATGCCTCAAGCAGGAGGGCGGGACCTGGCAAAGGACGGACCCCCAGGAGGCACTGGGATGACAGCCCCCTGGCCCGGGGCTGCTGGGAGGAGCCAGAGGCCTTGCAGGGCAGGAGATCGTAGGTGAGTGAGTGGATGGCAGAGGAGAACTTTAGGGAGGGGGTAAAAACAAGGGACAAGAAAGAAAAAAGTGGGACTGAGGCTCTGGGTAAAGTGGGCAGGCACGGGGAAGTAGTTCTAAATTCCGATAAAAGCAGGGGGATGAAATTGGGCCCCATTTTCCACAGGCCTAGGGAACTGAAGCGAGGCTGAGTGCTAGACAGACAGGTGGGGCAGCAGAGGGAAGCAGCAAAAATGAGCAAAGGTGGGAAATACAAATGGAAGAATGGTCACCCCAAATGGTGAGCTAGAAAGAGGCTGGAGGCCAGAAGAGGAGGCCGGGCAAGGCCTGTCCAGTGCTTCAAATGAGGGTGGACTCAGGCTCGGAAGACCAGCTGTGATGGGCATCCACCTCGCACACCTGGCCACCATGCTCCCATCATGGTGAGACCAAGCACACTGCATCCGGGAATCCTCGCCTGTGTGTGGGAGGGCCAGCAGAGGCAGGGTCCCGGGGGTGGGCCCCACCCTGTGGGGGAGAGCCAGGTGGGCACAGCTGGAAGCCAGGAGGCATGGTTTCTCGAGGAGAAACGTTCCTCTCCCTTCAGTAGCCAAAGAAAGCAGCCCAGAGATGAGCAGGAAGAGAGGGGGAAGCAGGTCAATCAGACATTCAGTGAGCCTGTTCACAGAAACTCCTGTGTGCCTGTGGGAGGATGCTGACCCATGTGGGGAGAGGGACGCAGGGAGGACTTGCCATTCCTTCAGGAGCAAGAGATGAACGTTAATTCAAGTGGCTCAGGACACAAGGTTTGGCTCCCAGCTTATGCAAATACTGTAGAGCTTAGCTAGACCCTGGAGACTGGGGCCAGCATTCCTGAACCGAATGGGTGTCCAGTTCTCCCATGTCCAGCCAATTTCTAGGTAAGAGTCCATGTCTTATACCTACAGGCCCCTCAGCACAGCTCAGAAGATGCTCCCAGAGTCTCTGAGGGTAGGAAAGGCCTGGGTGAGCACAAGCACGGGCTTGGGTCTGCTCCCAGCTCCTCCATAGTTACGATATGTGGGACCAGAGTGAGCCACGATGGAGAGCCTGAGATGGGAGGTAGAGGGGCTCAGACACCAAGGAATTGAGTCGCCATGAACAACATGCCGTGGCCTGGAATAGTGCCCTGGGTGACCTGAGGGAAGCTTGGCGTCCAGAGGCTGGAGTGCTCAGCCAGGGACCCAGGAAACCCACGTCACACTTTGCCTAACGCCCCAGGGATGGGCTGACAAAGGCACCCACTCCCCTAAAGGTACCCACTGCACCTGCACCCCTGGCCCAAATAGTCCTTCACTATATGACACAGGCATCCCGACAGAGGGGGCAACTTTGGGAGCAGAGGAAAGAAGGGGAGACCGCCTTGCCTCCCCCTAGGGCAGCAGGGGGCACCCCATGTTGAGCCATTGCTCCCACCAGAGGTGCTCAGCTGACTTCATTCAACCCCCGCCCTCATTCACACCTCCCTTTCAGCAACTTCATTCTCATCCAACCCTGAGCAATGTGACCTCCTGCCCTGCAAGGCCCCCTGGCTCCTCCCAGCAGCTGGGCCAGGGGGACTGTCATCCCAGTGCCTCCTGGGGGTCTGTCCCTTTGCCAGGTCCCCACCCTCCTGCTTGGGGCATTGGCCCAGGGGAGGGCTGGGTTATGAGTGCCATCTGGCCGCTGCCAGCTTGGGCTGGCGAGAAGATAGGGACATTCTTCTCTGACAAGCGGCAGTGAATGGTCACCATACTGCTCGGCTGCAGGCCTGCGCGGAGAGCAGGCTGACCCTGGACTGAGATACTTATCTCGAGGCTGTGGCAGGAGCAGCAGGATCAGGGGCTCAGGAGAGATTGAACACCTGACCAAAGCCCCGTCTAGCCCAGGGACCACCACTCCATGCTCCTTCCTGCCAGCCCTGCCCTCTGTTTAGGCAGGAAAACATGGAAGCGGGAAGCAGATGCCAGGAAGCCAGCAGGACAAAAAAGCAGGTGCCGACGCGGGCAGAGAAGGTGTGGAGGGAACCTGCAATCCACTGCGTGCTATGCACGGTGCCAGGTGCTCTGCACACATCTTTAAAGGTGCTCTTCCAAACCACCCTTTCAGACAGAAACTATTACTCCTCCGCACACGAGGAGACTGAGGTCCAGAAAGGTTAGGCAGCCTAGTCGCTGCCCTGAGTTAACAGGTGGCAGAGCCAAGACTCAACTCAATGTTTTAATCCTTATCTGCAGAGTGAGGATATTTTTCCCATTGATTTTAGAGAGAGTGGAAGGGAGGAGGGTGAGAGAGAAACATCAATGTGAGAGAGACACATCGACTGGTTGCCTCCCACATGAGGGCAGGGATTGAACCTGCAGTCAGGTATGTGCCCTTAACCGGGAATCGAACTGGCGACCCTCCAGTATGCAGGCAGACACTCTAACCACTTAACCTCACCAGGCAGGGCTCAACGTTTTTACTACAAGAGCTTTTCCCCTTCATGACAAGGAGGCTACAGCATGAAATTCACAGTGAAAGTATCTCCGTGTCACACTTGGACAAGAAGCCCCCATCTGCCTCCAATGACTGTGCCCTCCCAGAAAAGAGGGCAGGGCTGAAGGAGATGTGGGGGAGAAGAAGACTCAGGTGATCTCTCGGGAGCAAAGACCCACACCAACACCTGGGTTAAGGACTCAGCCCCCCTGACATACTCCCCCGCCCCCGTCCCAGTTCTCTGCTGAAACGCCTCTGCATGCATCGGTGTGGGCTGTTCGCGCAACACCAAGGAGAAGGAAAGTTGTGGTGGGGGTCCCTCCCCCTCCCCCCTTGTTCAGTTCCTGGCAGGACCATGGCCGCTCCTACACTGGCTGATGCTGCCAGCCCAGGCGCAAAGGGAAAGGCAGGACGTAACAGCCCAGAGAGACGTACGTTGATGATGACCCCTTTGTCGAGCAGGCTCTGCTTCTTGGCGGTCATGACAAAATAGTGGGTGCAGTCCTTGTAGTAAACAATGTTCTCCAGATCGATCCCTGAAAAGAGAAGCGAGTGTGGGCTCAGTCCCGCGTGCTCGGTGCCCAGTGTGCCAGGAGCTCCATGTTGCCTGCGTATTTATTTACCTGCTGCCTATTCACACTAGATACATTTTAAAGACATGGCAAGTGCCAAAATTTACCCAAGCGAACACAGCTACGTGAGGTTTCCACCATTTCCTGGCTCTGTGTGAAAACCAGGTGCCCAGCAGGAGCAACTCAGGTGAGAGGGCCGTGTTGCATCTTTTTTTCACTTTCCACCCATTGCATAGATGCTTTATAGAAGTGGTTCTCAACCTTCTGGCCCTTTAAATACAGTTCCTCATGTTGTGACCCAACCATAAAATTATTTTCGTTGCTACTTCATAACTGTAATGTTGCTACTGTTATGAATCGTCATGTAAATATCTGATATGCAGGATGGTCTTAGGCGACCCCTGTGAAAGGGTTATTTGACTGCCAAAGGGGTCGCGACCCACAGGTTGAGAACCGCTGCTTTATAGACTAGGTTTCTGCGTTTAAGACAAATGAGAGGATAGCTTAGCTCAGTGCTTCTCAAAGTGGGGACCCCAGCCAGGAGCCTCCGAGAACGTATTAGAAACGCCAATGACCAGGGCACCTCCCGGCCTGCAGAATCAGAAGCCCTGTGGGCGGCTGGATTCACCTTTGAGAAGCACTGGCGTGGCTTCCTCCAAGGGGCAGAGGGGAGCAGACGCATGGCAATTATCTGCAGTTGACACAGAGGCGTGCTGGGTAACCATAGGAACCCCGTTATTACTGCTAAATAGGAAACAGCCGTGAAGGCAGAGGGCCCCTGGAGAATCAGAGGAAACAGCGCTATCAGCGTGCGAGGGGCAGAGATGTGAAACAATGGCCAAAGGTGACGACCACAGCAGAGTTTAAAGGAAGCTCATTCAGACCTGAGGAAAAACACATCCCATGTCCTGTCAGAATTCATAGCTGGTGGTTTATTTAAGTATTTATTTTCCTGGGTTTTGAGGGGAAGGGAGGGTTGGAGAATTCTTAAATCATTCAAAGGGACATAATCTGCGGGAAGGAAATCCTTTTTTTTTTTTTTTTAAATAAAATAATGCAACCGTGCTGAACTTCAGAGGGTCATGCAGTGGGCACACATCACGGGGGCCAGGGGAGGCCGAGTCTGGCTCAGTAACAAATTCCATTCCTAGAAAACTAGCTTCCCAAAACAACCCCGCAGAAGCAGTGTTAGCTGTGACAGTGAGTCACCGAAAGGTCTAAATCAGAAGTCAGCAGGCTTCTTCTGTGAAGAGCCAGAGAGTAAACACTGTGGGCCTTGTGGGCCCTCCAGTCTGTGCCCAGCCCCTCCTGGTGGAGTAGCACCTGCAACGAGGTAACCACATGGGGTGGGGCGGCTGGGTTCCCATAGACCTTTATTTTTAGACATTGAAACTTGAATTTCATATAACTTTCAATTTTTCTCAAAATAGTTTCCCTTTGATTTTTCTTCAGCCATTGAAAGATATTTAAATGATGCTTTGCTCAAAGGCAAGACAGAAACATGTGGCCAGCCAGCTTGCCATCCCATGGAGTAAACAATTAAGCAATGACAATACATCCACTGAATGAGCTATTCTGCCAAAGCTGACCATCAGGAGGACCAGGCGGCCACAGGGACAGTATTTAACATGTGAGGCTGAATGAGAAAAGCAGAATAACAAAGAGTATTGGCACTATCAGGGGAGCTAGGTCCATGGAAAAGGTAGGGATGCAGGTGAAAAGTCACTGAGAAGAAGCATTGCAAATGAGGAGCATCCTGGGCCAGGGGGTGCTGGGTGTGGATGATTTACTAGTATTTTTAGTGTAAAGATTTACCATTGTCGTCATACTCCCTTTTCAAGGAGAGAGAGATCTTTAACTTAGGTCAATAAGGAAAAAAAATCTGGAAATGTCTTAATTGGGGGCAGGTGTTTTGTGCCTCACTTCCCCCCCCCCTTACAGACCACCTGCGGCATCATTTGTTTACTGAGTCTCCCTTGATGCTCCAAGAGTGGGTTTGGTTTGGCCCACTTCTCTGTCTCACACCCTTGAACACCGTCTGGCACCTCGTAGGCATTCAATACATATTTGTCAAGTAAATAAACGAATACATTCCTCAAGGACCTGGCTGAGTGTGCAGCTCCCTAAGCATCCCTGGATCCCTGGGAGGAAGGGCAGCTGGCACACTGCACAAAAGCACCTGGGCTTCTGCAGGGACCACCCCCAGGTGACTGGCTCCCCACTCAGAGCGCTCCCTGAATCTCACGCTGATCTCCGCACAGCACGACCGGGCTGCATTAGAAGGGGCAACGCGGGGTCCCTCCCTGGACAGGAGCTGCGTCGGGTGGGGATCGTGTCAGCCTTGGCTTTATATCCCACAATATTGAATCCCAGGACATAATGGGCATTCCGTAAATGTTTCCTGAGTAAATAAGTAGGTATCTATAGTCACATACAACATCTAGAACTTTCCCTCAAGAATCCCTCTTGTCCTGGAAGGAATCCTGCCCGTTATTAAGGAGAAATCCCTGCTTCCACTCAATTGGAGTGAGTATCCCAGTCCCCAGAGCTGGGGAAGGCAGCAGCTCCTCGGGGAAGTGACAGTGCCTGGTTTGGAGAAAGGTGACAGTCTCACCTGTTTCTTCCTTAAGGTCCTGGAAGAACTTCTGATTGAAGATGAAGGCCACGCCACTGATCTCCTCCACCTTGGCCTCGGCGGTGCTGTTTCTGTTTATGAAGTTGGCGGTGATTGCGATAGCCAACTTCCCACGGAACTCTTTTCTCCTGAAGCCTGCGGAGGGAAAGGGAAGGAGTGGGTCTTTCTTCTGGACTTGGTGTGAAAGCTGGAGAAGATGACTGAGAAAGCTGCTCTCTGACGTCCATCGGTCAGCGAAACTCACGGTCCCAGCAGACTCGCTGGACAGGACCTTTGTCTTCAGCCAGCTGTGGGAACACCCCCACATCCCCTCACCACATCATCAAGCCTCATGCTGATTCCCAAACTTCTCTGTCAAAAATCCCTTTGACTAAAACTCTTGGGTTTCTACTGTATACCTACTCCTTTGAGTCATTCTTCATTGGAACTTTGTCAAAAATGCTCAGAAATAGCCATGTTTCTCTAGTCTAATATTTCTTAGTGGGGGTGATTTTGCCCCCCGCCCCAGAGGGCATTTGGCAAAGTGTTGAGACATTTCTGGTTCCACAACTGGGGGTACCACTTGGTGTCAAGTGGGTAGAGGCCAGGGATGTTGCTAAGCGTCCTACAATGCCTTGGGGACACCCATGATGAAGAATTATCTGCCCAAAAGGTTAATAGTGCTGATTCAGAGACTCTGCTCTGGCCTACCTTCTTGGTCCCAAGTTGCTCAAATGGCTCGTCCTCCCCAACCCACCCTTCATGTTCACGAAATGCCAAACTACACACAAGCTGAGCATGGATCCCGAATTTTCAAATATTCAAACTGAGTTTCCTCACACCATCATAAACTCTAACAGCACAATATCCAGGTTGGCAGCTTAAAAATTCTTTGTCAGATACTGGTTATTGATTGCAGGGGAACAGGTATGAGGTGGAGAGAGAGGAACCGCACTGTTCCCACAGCAGGTGGGAAGAGCCTCAGCAGGCCAACTTCACATCCTGAATTCTCTTGGATGAGCCCTATGTCGGGGAGTGTGTTCCATCCTCAGAGAAGGTGCCCCCGCAGTCAGACATCTGCTGTCTGCTATCTGCAGCCCTCGAGCAGGGCAAGCTCGAAAAGCAGACCTGTGCTCGTCAAAGAGATGCCACATGGGATGATTCACCCACAAACCCTGGTCTCAAACCAGTACAGTTAGTGCCAGTGAGTACAACCTGCGCACCAATTAGTCTTGGGGCCGGGGTGGAGGTGGCTGGAGGCATTTCCTGGCAGTGCGGCTCCTCTCTCAACCTAACCAGGTCCTAACCCAAGAAACCATGTGCTCCCAAGTTTACAGCTCAGAGAAGCAGTTTTGCACCCTGACAGTTTGGGCAAAACTCGTCTTCCTGCCCAGCACTGAATGTGCTTAAAGGTCATGAGAATAGCAGGGCTCCTCCTCTGGAGTATTACCCTCAACAGCAAACTGATGCCATTAATGATATACAAATGCTTTTCTGAGATGAAGTAAGTGGGAAAGTGTTTAGCACCACGGCTTGAATTCTGGCAGGTGCTCAATAAAGGGGGGCTGATTTTTTTCTTTTAATTTTCATGGCATTTAAGCTTCACAAAGCATTTGTACATAGGAGTCCTTCCCCAGCTCTTATAACGATGCTCTAATGGGGTTTGATTTTCCACATTTTACAGTTGGAAAAACCAAGGTTCAGAGAGAATTAAATGGCTGCTATCTAGACACTCACCTCAGGCATGACAGGGTGGTCTGCCCTTCTATCAAGACCCCCTCCAACTTTGGCACCTGTCACCTCGCCCCTTCTTCTCCACCCCCTTCTGGATACACCCCCTCCCACTTGTCTCCCCATCCCTGGTGCCAAAAAGAGGAGTCTTCACCTTCCAGTGTGTTCCTGCGGCCATCGGCACCGATGATGACATCGAACTCGAACTCCGACAGGGAGTGGTCGGCAGGGAGAAATTCTGCCCGCCAGCCAATTTCTACCAGGACAGAAAAAGGAGATGAGTTGGCACAGAGAGTAGCAGGAAGAGAGAGTGATTATACCCCCTCTGCGTTGGCCATGAGAAAGGGACAATGCCACCTGGTGTAGGCGCCCCAGACAGGGCCTCCAGAGGAAAGACCCTGCGCTGTCCAGATTCACACTGAAATCTGGAGTCCCTCTGGCTTTAGTGTCAGTTCAGTCCAAGATGAGGTTAACCAGCAGCGCCAACTGCATGCCTGGTTTTACTGGTTTCTATAGGTAAAGGCTGGGAGTCTATCCTCAATGATTCTCAAACCAGTCTCACTTGGACCTTATATTTTTCAACAGATTCTCCCATGTTCTCTTCGTAGTCCCCAGGTTCCTCAAGGCCCTTCCATTGTGAAAGAGACCCAAAAGGATGTGCAGGGTGTAATGAAACCAGTCTGACTTCCTACTTCATTATGCTCAAAACGTTCCATTGTGCAGCACACAGTCTTCTATGAAACCATATTCAAGTGAATCCTTGATGGCTACTCATAATCAGAATTTAATATCCATGGGAGGTCTGGGGAAGATGAACAGCACATGGGTCTCAGAGTTTAATGGATGCCCAGCGACAAAAGCCAAATAACACCTCCCCTAAGTTCTCAATATTCCGGCTAAGACAGGAGAAGTCAGAGTTGTAGCCGTGTGTGAAACTGTGAGGTTTCTGACACGATCTGGCTCAGAACTGAAAGCCCTGCCCAGGCAGAAGAAGATTTTGATAATAAGGACGATGCAAAGGCGTCATGAACAAACCCTCTGATCATAGTGTACATGCAGCATCAGAATTTACATACACATCCTAAAAAAGGAGGGGTTGCTAAATAAGACATAACTACAATGGGTGAATTTTATGATTTGTAAATTATACTTCAATAAAGCTTAAAAATAATCTGCCCTAACCAGTTTGGCTCAGTGGATAGAGCGTCGGCCTGAGGACTGAAGGGTCCCAGGTTCGATTCTGGTCAAGGGCATGTGTCTTGGTTGCGGGCACATCCCCAGTTGGAGGTGTGCAGGAGGCAGCTGATCGATGTTTCTAACTGTCTATCCCTCTCCCTTCCTCTCTGTAAAAAGTCAATAAAATATATATATATTTTTAAAAAGCTTAAAAATATTATAACCAAATAATATTTTGAACATGTATTTCATACTTGCTCTAGAAACTTCACATTCTTTACTGGACTTTAATACTACCATGCAGGGACATCAAGTATATCCTCATATCTGTGTGTACACAAACAGCTTGAAGAGCATGTGAATGAACTTGATCAGACAACCAAATCTGTCTTCTAGCCTACTCCTGATTGGACTTCCTTTGTCAAAGTGGCACCTCCTAGTGGCAGGATAATCAAATTACAGGTTTAGTGGCTTAATACTATATCCCCTGTGAGCTGAAGAGCAAACCTAAAGTGATAGCAATGGTCAAAAAAGGTAAAATAGCCACTGATGAAATTATGTCAAACAGCTCCAAGTAAGAATAACTGTCAAATTATTGAGAGCTGCAAATGTAATTTCCATTTTGCAATGTCTCATTTCCAGACAGAAGAGGAAAGGTATACTGTACTATGGTTTTCTTGATCTTCGGGAGGCTCCAGAACCTTCACAAACTCCACATTCACATGGATTTCAACTCCCAAGATCAGGGCCACCTTGAATAGGATGAGCTGTAACTGACGAATACCTGTTAGAAAGGAAGGGAAAGGGAGATGAGCTGTAGGAGCAATGCCTGGATGCCTCTTGTATATAGAACATTATATAATCACTGCTCAGTGATCTCTGAGTATAGCAATGTATCAGTAATGATCATTACTGGGCGCTAATTATGTGTCAAGTACTCTGTGTCTTCTCATTTAACCCTTACAGTGCCCCTTCGGGATAATTATTCTCATCTTATCAATGAGAAATTGAGGGGTAACGAGGCTTAAGTGACTTGCTCACTCCGGGTCACATGGAAGCCAAACTAGAATGTGGACCCAGCTCTGTCTGATTCTAAGACCGTGCTCTAGCTGTCAGATCGTGCTGTAATGATGGAGGCTCTCTCTCTCCTGCCTCCGTCCTCAGCTGGGCTCTGGGTTTAGTAAGATAAAGATGAAAAAAACAGTAGAGAGATAGAGTAAAAGGCCACAAGTAAAATCAGCCATCAACTGGCTCATTCTTTGGGAACCTAAACCTAAGCTCCTAGCCATCCAGGGTAAGGAGTGAGGTGGGGAATTCTCTCCACAAAGCTGGGCTCATACCCTGGCCAGTGTGCTCAGTGGTTAGATTATCGGCCTGTGCACCAAAGGGTCACAAGTTTGATTCCTGGTCAAGGGCATGTTCATGGGTTGCAGGTTTAATCCCTAGCTCCAGTCAGGGTGTGTGCAAGAGGCAACCAATCAATGTGTCTCTCTCATCAACGATGTTTCACTCTCGCTCGCTCTCTCTCCCCCTCCTCTCTTCCACTCTCTCTGAAAAATCAATGGGAAAAATATCCTCGGGAGAGAATTAACAAACAAACAAACAAACAAAGCTGGACTTATGTTCTCGACTTCTTATCTGAAACCCCCAATATGTGGCACCCTGTTTCTCTACTTTGTCCCCTACTATTCAGCACAAACATGGTTGCCTCCAATATATTTCTGTAGAGTGCAGTTTTAAATTCTCTGTGGGTCCCTCTGAATTTCATGGGCTTTGCTCATTTAGCGTTTACTGAACATCTACAATGAGCCAGGTGCCATGCTAGGTCCAGGAGATAGGACACACCCCCTCTTAATGGGGGAAACACAAATACACAGAATGGGGCAAGGCATGGCGGTTGGGGGCAGAGCTGCAGTCCTGAAAGCCTAGAGAGGAGGAGGGACCGAGAATACCACATCCCACAGAGAGATGAAGGAATATGGAGACTATGGGAGGCCAGGGCACTTGGGAGATAGGAAGCTTCTGGAGACCTTGGTGAAAATCTCATGAGCTCAGTGGTTGGGAAGAAATCAGACTAGAATGCAAGGAGGCATGAATGGAGAGTATAGACAAAGTCTACATCTCTTTCTAGAATAAATACTTGGAAGTAAAGAAAAGTAATGGGCAGTAACAAAGGACAGAGGAGGGGGGGTGTGAGGTGAGAAGCGGGAAGACTAAGTGATGGGGCAGGTGAAAGGGGAGAAGGAATCAAGAGGGACCAGTGTGGAGAGGAGGTGGTCAGCTCTGCCCCTGACATTGGGTTGAAAAGAAGGAGTAGGTACACGGGTAGAGGAGGAAGGAGAGGGAGCTGGAATGGGAAGTGCCTGCTGGTGGCTTCTCTTCCCCAGAGCATGGGAGGGAGGCCAGCTGCTAAGAATGAGGAGGCTGTGGTAGAGGTTTGGAACAGCCACTGTGGGAACTGGAGGAAGATGCTGACACAGGACAAGTTGAGAACAGCTGCGCAGTGCTGAGGTCCAGAACATAGCTGGGGCTGGAGACCATGGTCCGTCTGCAAGGAAGCTGATCAGCTGGGCCTGGAAACAGGTCTGGCCTCTCTCTCTTTATGGTAGGCTATATGTTTCCAGCACACAGTAGGTGCTTAATAAATTATACCTGCCTCCCTTCTCACAGGCACTGGGGCTGCCCTTGACAATGATCACGCTGAGTCTCAGTTCCACGGTCCTGCCAGTGCTCCTGCACACTGGGATATTCCCAAGACCTAGGAGTTAATTGGGAGCAGAGGGGGCCGCTGGCCCAGAAGGCAACCCGACAGCCCGGGGCCCTCCCAGGCCTGCCGGTGGCCAGCTCTGCCTCTCGGGAAGGTCTGATGAGAAAGCGGTGCTCAATGCTGTTGTTGTAAAGTGGAAACCAACATACATTCTTTCAATGGGTGGTAGGGAATATCCTGAAAGCTGACACTGCAACTTTCTGGGCAAATCCAAATTACTTTCCAATGGACTCATGGAACTTTCTCATCTCAGAGCGGGAATAAACTCCACGTCTGGTAAGTTCTCCTGCATCTGACTAAATTACACCCCGTGTAGCTGATAATTCTCTCCAGGCATTCCCACTTGAATCCCATACCCATTTCCCATCAGTTCCTGTCCTCATAAAAACATAGATTTCAGGATTCTCCTCCCACCCATGTTTTGAATTCTGAATTTTGAAACTTGGGGACCCTGGCTGCTTCTTGCTCCCTGTACATCACTAGATGTTAGGCATTTCCTAAATATCTACTATGCACCAGGTACAATGATAAACACATTACAAACTTGACCTTATTTAATCCTCAGCAATCCCAGTAGGCAGGCATTAATCACATTTATGGGAGACAAAACTGGGGCTTGAAGAAGGTAAGGAATTTGACCCAAGTCACACAGGAAAACTGGGCAAGACAGATTTTGGAGCCAAATCTGTTCAAACCTTGAACTCTCCCCATAGTATGAACTCCCTAACGTTTATGAGTGACTAAATGGCCAAAGACCTCCTTCCTTTATGGGCGGAGGGAGGCTGCTCTCCTAAAGTGCGTCTGCACAGATCTTGACCCACGAGACCCAGGCATGAGTAACATCTGGGCAGAAGGGCCTCAGCTCCCACCTCGCCCTACCTAAGCATTCAGGGATGGCCCAGGCCCCGAAACCCATGTCCTCTCTTCCCCCTCCCTTTCTGAATGAACATCATCATGATGTCCTCTCGTTAAAGTGCAATAAAACTTGGTATGAGGAGTGGTGACATTCCTCTTCTAGAAGCTGCCAGGGTTCCCCAGAACCGGCAATGCTTCTTGCCCAAAAGGCCCTCAACAACCTGGCCCATTTAATGGCTTTGTGTGGCTCCCTCTTCCGAACTCCTCTAGCAAGTCTGACTCCTCTATTAAAGCACATTTCATTACTGACAACACCTTGGTGAGCTCTCTCGGGGCAGTGTATGCTAAGTGCCTCTGCCTCGGTTTTCCATATTCCATTCATTCACTCAGCAGAAGTTTATTGAGCACCTACTATGTGTCAAGCACTCTTTTATGCTCTGGAGATACTCTGGTGAACAAGACATGCCATAGTCCTTGGCCTCATGGTGCTTAGAGCCTAGGGGGCCAAGCACAGGGCCTGGCCCACGGCACAGAGCAGGTCCTTCTCTAAATATGTGCCTGTTGGATGTGTGGAGCTCCCAGGCACTTGCATGATGGAACATTCTGGAGACTCCTCAATGTGCAGAGATGTGTCCCCAGGTCAGCCCCCTCTCCTCCTGGGGTGCCACCACTGGCGCCACTCACTGATGTGGTCGATGGAGCCAGCACAGAACTTCCCATAGAACTTCTTGGCTCCCAGGCCCCGCAGGTCATGGATGGTGAAAGGCCAGAGGTGCAGTACGTTGTTCCGGGAGAAGGTGTCCCTCTTCTCCACCACGACCACTTTGGCCCCCAGGTAGGCAAGTTCAATGGCCGTGCGCAAACCACATGGTCCTCCCCCAACGATGAGACACTGCAGAGGTGAGAGCAGAGAGAGACACTCAATGACTCTAGCATCATAGACACTAACCGACGGTCAGCAGCAAACCCCATCCACCCAAATCGACCAGCAAGTGCAGACAAAACAAGCGCCTGTGAGGACCTGCCATTCATCCATCCAATGTTCACCACCTGTGGGCCTGCTGTGCACCAGGCACTGTGCCAAGCCCAGTGAGGGATGCAGAGGTAAAGGGACTTGGGGGGAGGCATGGTTAGATATACGTGAGGTTCAGAGTCAGACTGAACTGGGCTTACATCCCAGCTCTGGCATTTGACCTCTTAGTTTCTTCATCGGTGACATGGGTCTGCTACCCTCTTCTTGTAGGGTTGTTAAAACTAAGATTGCTTTTTAAAAGCTGACGGCACATCTTTGTGACCTTGCTTAGGCAATGGTTTCTTAGATGTGATAACAGGAGCATAAACAACAAAAGAAGAAAGAGATAAATTGGACTTCATCAAAATTAAAAACTTCTGTGCTTTAAAGGCTACTATGAAGAAAGTGAAAAGATGACCCACAGGTGGGAAAAAGTATCTGCAAATCATATATCTGATAAGGAATTATTATCATAAAGAATTTTACAGCTCAACAATAAAAAGACCAATAACCCAGTTAACGAACGGGAAGACGATCTGAATAGACATTTCTTTAAGAAGATATATGAATGGCCAGTAAGCACATGAAAAGATGCTCCACATCATTAGTCGTCAAGGAAATGCAAATTAAAGCCACACTGAGATGTCCCTTTATACCCGCTGGGATGGCTGTAACCAAGAAGACAAACAACAAGTGTTGGCAAGGAGCTGCGGGGACGGGAGCCCTCGCACTGCTGGCGGGAACGTACGAAGGTGCGGGTGCTTTGGAACAGTTAGGCCTTTGCTCACAGAGTCAGACACGGAATTACCACATGAGCCGACCACTCTACTTCTAGGTTTGTACTTAAGAGAAATGAAAACATATGCCCACACCAAAACTTGTACACGAATGTTCATAGCAGCATAGTCATAACAGCCCAAACAACCCACGTGCCCATCCGCTGATGCATAACAAAATGTGGGATAGCCTCACCATAGAGTACTATTCAGCTATAAAAAGGAATGAAGTGCTGATATATGAATGAGCCTTGAAAACATTATATTAAGTGGGGGGAGAAACAGGCACAAAAGGACATATACTGTAGGAGTCCATTTATATGAAATGTCCAGAACAGGCAAATCAATAGAGACAGAAAATAGACTAGTTGTTGCAAGGTAATTGGCCTCAGCTCCCTCAGCTGGAAAATATGTTAGACGAAAGTATCCTGGTCTAGGGACCATGACATCAACGTCAATTTATGCAATTCTCAGTTCCATGAAGGTGAAGTTTTTAACATCACAAGGCCTTCTATAAATGAATGCAGAACTTAGTTATAAAATAATGCCCCCACCCAGGCTGGTGGCTCAGCTGGTTGGAGCATCACCCCATACATGGAGAGGTCATGGGTCTGATTCCCAGTCAGGGCACATACCGAGGCTGTGGTTCAATCCCTGGTTGGGGCACATGTGAGAGACAACTGATCAATGTTTCACTCTCACATCAATGTTTCTCTCTCTCCCCCCTCCTCACTCCCTTTCTCTCTCTACAAATCAATACAATGAAATGTCCAGAACAGGCAAATCAATAGAGACAGAAAATAGACTAGTTGTTGCAAGGTAATTGGGGGCGGGGGTGGGGATGGGGGGAGGGAAGGGAGGGAGATTGGGAAGTGGCTGAAGGGTATAGGATTTATTTTTATGGGGATTAGATCGTAATGATGGTTGAACATATATGTGAATATACTATAACCACTGACCTGTATGCTTTGAATTATATATGCTATGGCAAGTGAATTATATCTTAGTAAAATAATTATATGAGAAAAAAAGCATATGGTGTCAAGTGTGACACAGACTAGTAGAAATCAATAACTAGTTCTATCTGGAGCCCAGAAAGGGAAAAGCTAATCCTACCTGGTGAGCTGGAAAAGACTTCACAGGGAAGGTCTTTGAAATCACACCACCCCACTATCATCTCCTCCTCTTTATCCTCCTCTTCTTTCATCATCATCATCATCATCATCACTCCACCACCACAGCCTATGTTTGTCGAGCACTTGCTATGTGCAGGCGCTGGTTTAAGTGCTTTATGTGTTTTTGCTCTCAATCCTCACAACACACCTAAGAGGAACTATTGTCATCCCCATTTCACAGCTGGAAGAACTGAAGCACAAAGCAGCTAAGTCTTTGGCCCACGGTATCACAGACAGAAAGGGGCAGAGCCAGGATTCAAACCCAGGTGGTCTCATTCCAGAGCCCACCATGCTGTTCTGATTCTGGTTTGCCAGGAATAAAAAGAAGAAAGAACATTCAAAGGGAAAGAAAGAGAAGTTCTAGATGGATGGAGAGAAGGATAGTTTGGGAAAGGGAGGAGAAGGAGAAGTCTGTCTGGAGCCAGATGCTGAAGGTCTTAAATGACAGGAGTAGGGGTATGGCTTTGGTGCTGTAGGCCTGGTCACGGTGGGCAGAGGCGACAAAGAGGATTCTGTGCAAGTCCCATGCTAGGTCTTAATGGACACTGTGACGTTGAACAAGAATCCCCAAGGAAGCTGCAGCCATTTTGGAGAGAAGTGTAGACACAGTGACCTAGCTAGTTATGTGGGACACAAGCCCTTTATTCAAACAAAATCTTATCAGGATAAGTTAAAAAACAAACAAAAAAACACAAAACAAAAACAGCAGAAAAGGGCAGTATTCTGACAGAGAGGATCAGAGACACCCCTACACAGCACCCTGCCCTACTCCCAGGCAGCCCTGGGACAACTTCCCGAAGTAAGAGTTCATCTGGGGTGGGGGCGGGTAAATAACTCAGGATACCACAGCAGGGCGACAGGGAAGGAGAGCTGCACCCACTCCTCGCAGCTGGACACTGCAGAGGCATTCGGAAACTTCCCTTCTGCCGGGAATCCAACCTTATCTTACAAAAATGCATTCCCCTTCCCCTGGCAAATACTCCATCATCCAGTTATCACTCATCGGGGCGGCAGCGTCCCGAAGGGAAAGTACAAACAGGCCTATCAAAGCTCCCACAGCACGATCTGATCGTGGGGCTTAGAGTCTGTGGGAGCCCCATCGTGGGGAAATGAAGTCACTGCTGAGATAGGACTCCCTCCAGCGCGCCTGCAGCTCCCTGGGCTTCCTTTCTGGTGGGAGCTGGCTGGCGAGAGCCAACTCCTCCAAGGCCAGCTCCGAGTCTTATCTCATGCCCCCAGCGCCTCGGGCTCCGCTCGGACATAGCCAGACCATGACAGGCTTCCGAAAGCCAGACTCCAAACCCCAGCGCTTGTGAGGTTGGCTTTGGGGTTAGGTTTGAATTCATTGCATTTCTTTGCAGTTAGTGCATCTTTTCCTGTTTGCCGAGTTCTGTCACTCCAGGGCCAGAGATGGAGAGGGGGCGGGAGGATGGGGGTGAGGAAGGGCAGGAGGAGAAGGAGGGGAGCCCTCCTATCCAGGATGCCTGACCCAGTACTGCTCCCAGGACGAGGCAGGACACCCCCTCCCACCAGTTGGGGGGCTGCTGTGCATTTTTCGTGCACACAGTAGCTGGTGGACTGCTTCTGGCCCTGCCCTCCCCTGCTAGACCTGGATCCCATCCGTGAAAGCTCAGTTTCCCCACCACCCTGGGCCCCGGCATATACTTCAGGCCTGAAATTGCAGAGACACCACTCATACCACAATCTAAAGTCAAAATAAATACCAATGGGCCTACTTATCTGCTGGGGGAAATTTGGTGCAGAAATACCCAGGCAGGAGAGAGGGCTGGCTGCAGGGGCCAGGCCAGTCCCTCTTGGAACATGCTTGTTATGATTAACATGGGAACTCAGAATTCTGACGAGAGGCCAAATGCCCCCGCTGCTACACACCTGGGCAGAGGAGCAGGAGAGAAGAGGGCATCCCTGGGGTGCCCACAGTGGGTGCTCTGGATGTTGGGCTGGTCCAAACACCATGGATGCAAAGGTTCTGATACTTTCAACCCCCAAGGAGCTGTTCCCCTTTCCCGGGCCCAGCCGGGCTATCCCTGCTGAGGACTACTGCCAGGAAAGAAAACATTTTATTAAAACTCAACCCCGCTGCCCCAAATTAGGCTGTGCGTTCCTCGCACCGGCTCTGTCCTTAGTGCTACCCCAGAAGTAAGCTGCCCATGGTATAATTATCTGCATCTGATTCCCAGGTCAGCGTGAGTGTCCTCTGTCTGCTCAGAGCCCAGCACAGGGGTGGGCACACAGGAGCCTCAATAAACAGTTGATGGATGAATGGCCTTCCCACATCCTCACCACCCAGCCAGTTCTGGCTCTCCAGGCCTAACCGGGACGCTCAGTACACGTCAGCCAGGGTTTATGTCTGCAGATTCCCACCCAGGCTGGGGGAGCTGGGGTCTGCCAAGGCCACCAGCATCAGAGACGTCAGCAGATATGTGCACTCGGGCAACATAAATTTATTACCCAACGGGGAACAGGGCCGATCCAACACCAGCAGGAAATCCATTGTACCGATAAGCTTGGCAGTGCTTAGGCCTCCACGTTCGCAGGGAGAGACAAACACCACATGGAAAAGTCGGCCTCCTATTATCAAGGGGCGGGAAGAGGGCACAAGGGGACTGGCCCACAGTCAAGGCCCAGGGCCGGGGTGGCCCCAGCACACACAGATACCTGTGCCATCCCAGAGAAACCCTGCAAACACTACCCACTTCCTGGTGACACGTGCATCTCTCAACCCACCAGTGGGTGGGTGTGCTGGGACTGCGCCAGGAATGCTAACAGGATCCAGTCCCCAGAAGGAGTCACAGGGAAATCAGGGGCGAAGCCAGGGGTTAGCTATCCAGCTGCCTGGAGACTTGGTTTCTGGTTCTGAATTCTGCCTCTGATTTCCTGGGGAGCTCGGTGTGCGGACACTCCAGGGAGG